TTTTTAGAGCCATTTCTTGAGGAATTGAGTGTGTTCTTGATCTAAATTAGTTTACTCATATTCTACTCTTTAAGAGAGTTTTTGTTCTTGAGTGGTTAAGTGTTGTGAACACTTTAAGGGAGGTTTGTTCCCTTGGTTGTACGAAGGAAGGGCATATTCCTTCGAGTTGAAGTCTTGGAGTGCGGTATCTCCGAGCAAGTGTATTGAGGCTCGTGGGACTCAAGTTCTCAAGTTGTAACGATTTGTTAAGCACCCGTAAGCTTAACGGAAGTAGTGTAGCTCGAGAGAGTCTCTCGGGAGACTGGACTAGCCACACGTTGTGGTGAACCAGTATAAATCTTGGTGTGCTCTCTTTACGCTTTTTTACGCTCTTTACTTTTTACGTTCTTTACTTTATCTCTACGATTTTTATTCCGCGAAAATTTATAAACATTCTCGTGCCTCACTATTCACCCCCCCTCTAGTGAAGGGCACTTATTCTAACAAATATGTAAATAAAATGATTTGAAAAAATTTGATATTTTGTCTCAGGAATACATGTGTGACAAATATTTAAGGACGGATGGAGTAGATTGTTTAATTTATTTTATTTAAAAATTGGTGTAGAATTAAAATATACATATTTAAAGATTATGTGAAAAAAATTCAAAACAAAAACTGACAAAAAGTCTTTATTTTAATAAATAATCAATTAAATGTAAAAATTAAATAAAAAACTCATACTCTTTTCGTCCGAAAAAGAATGGCACAATTCCTTTTACAACAATCAATGAAATTTTTGTTTATTTATACGTTTTCATTAATTACTTCCTCCGTCCTAAAACTTTCTTTCCAAAACACTATTCCAACTTCACGAGAATTTATATTTATTTTTGTTTTTTCATGGCCTATATGATAAAATAAAATATTCTTGTCACCACTTGTTTTGTTGAACTTTTGATATAGTTTCTAAATATGTATGTTTTATTTTTTATTTCTATACCAATATTTAAATAAAATAGATTGGAAAAACTTGAGATTTTTCTTCGTTTTGCGCAACGGGAAGAAAGATATAGGACGGAGGGAGTATTTGATAAAATATACTCCCTCCGTCCCATTTTATAACGCCTATTTCGGTTTACGATGTTTGACTGAAGCTATTTTCAAATCATTTTATATGACAAATGGTATAAAATTAAAAAATAAAAATTACATATCAAAATACAACATCAAAAGATCTACAAAACTAGTAGTGACAACAATATTTTATTTTATCAAATTGCTAACGAAAATAGAGAAAGAAAGTGAATGAAGTTTGACCCTGTGAATAGTGAACATGCATTATAATTTGGGACGGAGGGAGTACTCCGTATCAAGGAACCAACTCAACCACAAGCTCAAACTTGTGGTTGTGGCTCAAGAATAGTTATTTATATTCTAACACGCCCCCTCACGTACAGGCGTAGTCTTTTTTTTAGCCTTGCACGTGAAATCTTAATTTTTTTAACAAACTGGGTGGCGCTGAGTTTTGAACCCGTGACCTCTTAGTCAACGAGGCTCTGATACAATGTCAAGAAACCAACTCAATTAAAAGTTCAAGCTTTGTGGTTGTGGCCCAAGAATGATTGTTATATACTCTAACACGCCACCTCACGTGCAGGCGTGAGCTCTTTGAGCCTTGCACGTGAAACCCTAATTTTTTAAACTGGGTGGCGATGAGTTTCGAACGCATGACCTCTTGGTCATCAAGGCTCTAATAACATGTCAAGAAACCAACTCAATATTGTGAAAGTTGTGTAGGGCTAAAGCCACAGGAAATGGTAGCAACGCCCTTGGGCGTTAAGTGAGTTTTAACGCAT